GCTGCTGCTGCTGCTGCTGCTGCTGCTGCTGCTGGTTGAGAGGGGGCCAAAAGAGCTTCCTGAGGAGCCGCCGATGGGGGGCCCCCGGCAGTCTTACGGGTGGGTACCCAGGTAGCGTGCTGTACCCTGGGGCCCCCGCGGGGGCCCCCGAGGGGGCCCCCCCGCCTGCAGGGGGGCCCCCCTGGTTCTGCTGCTGCTGCTGCTGCTGCTGCTGCGGCAAAGACCAGAGGCCCCTCAGGAGGGCCTCCTGACCCTCGCGGGTGGAGGCCCTATGCACCAGCAGGGGGCCCCCAGGGGTATGCAGCAAGGGGTCGCCGAGGGGGGCCCCCAAGATGCTTGCGGGGGGGGCCCTGGTAAGAGCAGCAGCACACGCACAGGGAAGCAGCAGACAGGTATCTATCCGCATGCAGCAGCAACAGCAGCAGCAGCAGGATCAGCTGCTGATGAAGCAGCTCAACCAGCAACAGCTAAACCAGCAACAGCTGCAGCAGCAGTAACACCAGCAGCAGCAGCAGCAGCTACACCAGCAGCAGCAGCAGCAGCTGAGGAGACAACCCTACGCCTACAAAGAGTAGGGGGCCCCCAGTACCCTCCCCACGCACCTGCAAGGGGGGCCCCCCCCGGGGCCCCTATTCTCTTTGGGTTGTTCGCAGCTGCTCGGCAGGTTCATCAGAAAGTCGCGAGGCCTCCGCCTGGGGGCCTCCTCAGTACCCAGGGGCCCCGGGGGCCCCTGGGGGCCCCCGGGGCCCCCCGTGCTGCTGCTGCCTGAGGAGCGCTGCAGCAGCTGCTGCAAGGCAGAGGCGGTGAGGCCCCCTGGGGGCCCCCCTCCCACTTTGCTTTGGCTCGTTGTTATTGTGTGTTTTGTTAGTAGCAGCTCGAGCTGTACCCTTGCAGAGAGAGAGAGGGCCCCCAGGAATTCTCCTATTGCATGCGCAGAGAGGGGGGCCCCCAGGGGGGCCCCATATAGAACTGCAGCAGAACAATGATAGACACGCAGCAAACACTTAGTCTCAGATGCTGCTGCAGTCGCTGCTGCTGATGCTGCACTTGCTGCTGCTGCTGCTGCTGCTTCTGCTGATCCTGCTGCAGCTGCTGCTGCTGCACTTGCTGTTGCTGCATTTGCTGCTGCTGCTGTATCCCTCACAGCTCAGAAAGGCGAGGCGGTGGGGTGGGGGGCCCCCAGGGGCCCCTCCTGCGTCTGCTGGCTGTACCCCTTCAGGGAGGCCCAATGCCGCAGACACCTCAGCAGCATGTCGAGACGAAGAAGAAAATAATACTCCTTGGGGGCCCCCTGGGGGCCCCCCAAGAGGCCCCCCAAAGGGGCCCCCAAGGGGGCCCCCAAGGGGGCCCCCCTTGCCCTCACGCAAGAGCTCCTGAACCCAGGAGTCAGGGGCTTCAGGCGGCGGAGGAGATGGGGGCCCCGCAGCAGAACCTTTAGCTGCTGCAGCAGCTGCAGCAGCAGGTGCAGCAGCAGGTGCTGCAGCAGCTGCAGCAGGCAGAGCATCGGGGGGCCCCTGAATGTGCTGGTGTGCGGGGGGCCCCTCATCTGCTGCTGCAAAGAAGTCTGGGTACTCCTCCCAGGTGTCTGCTGCACCCTGTTCAGCAGCAGGCAGCGCCAGCAGCGCGGGGGGCCCCCCAACCCCATGGGGGCCCCCAAGCCCCCGGGGGCCCCCAACACCAAGGGGGCCCCCCTTGTCGCGAGAGGAGGGGCCCCCCTGAGCCAACGCGCTGTAGGCTGCTGCATCAGAAGAACTGACGAGGAGGCCCCCTGTCTCCCTGTGCACCTTCAAGCTAGTTACCTGCAGCAGCAGCAGCAGCAGTAGCAGCAGCAGCAGCAGCAGCAGTATTTGAAGCAGCAGAATCAGTAGCAGCAGCAGCAGCAGTAGCAGCAGCACAGCAGCAACAGTAGCAGCAGCAGCAGGCATGTGGGGCCCCCAGGAGGGTTTGCTTCAGGGGGCCCCCACCTCCGCCCGTGTCCCTACCCGTAGGCCCTGCAGGTCGTTGTATGTAGCTCTTGCGTCTTCATCGGGATCTGCTGCTGCTGCTGCTGCTGCTGCTGCTGGTGTTCCTGCTGCTGCTGCTTCACCTGCTGCTGCTGCTGCTGCTGCATCTGCTGTACGAACGGGAGGAGCCCCTGGGGGCCCCTCTAAGGGACCTGCAGCCTCCGCATGATCTCGCTGCCCCTTTGCTGCTGCTGTTGCTGCTGTTGCTGCTGCTGTTGCTGCTGCTGCTGCTGCTGCTGATCCCCTCAGAACTGCAGGCAGCAGCACCAGGTCGGGGGCCCGGGGCCCCTGGGGCCCCGGGGGCCCCTCTCTCGTTAGCGCTGGGGGGGCCTCTGGCAGGAGAAGACAAGGAGCAGCATCGAACTGCTGCAGGGTTTGGTTTCTTAGTTGCTGCAAGGTGAGCTGGGGGGC